AACCCTCTTCCCACCCCAGGAAAACCCTTGCTGGACAAGATACTCACTAGATTAAGTGAAGGGCGAAGGCCACCAAAGCCAGGCCTGGGACCACAGAAGGTGACACGGCTTCATCGCTGCTTTGTTCCTCTGAGTCATAGATCCTGGTGGTGGGGGGCGCCTTGAACGTGGAGGTGGTGCTGGTGGTGGTCTCTGCAGGAAGGAAAAAAGGAGACCCTTCCAGGAAATGAAGGTCAAGTTCGGGGTTTTTTTGCCCCCCAATCCCAATTCAACATCTGCACCTCCACGTAGAACAACCAAGGATGAATTTTGTAGCCTTGGAAGGAAACTATTGTCATCATTGTGGCTTGTACTGGAGGTCTGGGCATTGAAGAGGGGCTGACTTTGCTGTGCCCACCCTGTCTCTCTGACTGCAGCCTTTCAGTCAACACCCCAGACCCAAACAGGGCCTAAAATGCTTCCACCACCAAGAGGCTCTTCTTCCAGAAGACTCAAGGCCAGCAAGACAATTGGGGGCCTCCTGGTTCTGCCCCCTTTCGTCTCTGTGGGCATCTGGCCCACGAATAGGATGGCCCTGGGATTTGAGCTCCCCGTGTCAGGGTCTGCAACTGGTAGTCTAATTTTTTGAATGATATTTCTTCAGTTGGTATCTTTGGCACTGCACTGTGTTAGGACTTGAGGCTTGCAAGGAACTGGGTACGTCTAGTTCATGGGTAGGCAACCTTGGCTCTTTTATGACTCGTGGACTTCAACTCCCAGAATTCCTGAGCCAGCATGGCTCAGCTTGGAAACCTCTCCCTTTCCCCTCAGCATGGCTGGCTCAGGAATTCTGGGAGTTGAAGTCCATGAGTCATAAAAGAGCCAAGGTGTCCTGGCCTAGGCCGCTTTATGACTGGTGGACTTCAACTCCCAGAATTCCTGAGCCAGCATGGCTCAGCTTGGAAACTTCTTCCTTTCCCCTCAGCGTGGCTGGCTCAGGAATTCTGGGAGTTGAAGTCCACGAGTCATAAAAGAGCCAAGGTTGCCTACCCCTGGTCTAGTCTAATGAAGAGAAGACTTGTGGGGGGGGGCTGCCACAAAGAAGAGGGAGTCAACTTATTCTCCAAAACACTTGAAGGCAGGAAAAAGAAGCAATAGGTAGAAACTAACCAAGGAGAGATCCAACCTAGAACTAAGGAGAAATTTCCTAACAGTGAGAACAATTAATCAGTGGAACTGCTGGCCTCCAGAAGTTATGGCTGCTCCATCACTGGAGGTTTTCAAGAAGAGACTGGACAGCTACCGTATTTCGCTGAAAATAAGACCGGGTCTTATATTAATTTTTGCTCCAAAAGACACATTGGGGCTTATTTTCTGGTTAGGTCTTACTTTCAGGGAAATATGATACTAAATGCGTCCGTCTGGCTGATGATCTTAACTGAGGCTTTTTTGGGGGGGGGATGGGCTTATATTACGAGCATCCTGAAAAATCATGCTAGGGCTTATTTTTCGATTAGGTCGTAATTTTCGGGGAAATAGGGTATTTGTTTGAAATGGTATAGGGTCCCCTGCTTGAGCAGGGGGCTGGACTAGAAGACCTCCAAGGTCCCTTCCAACTCTGTTACTCTGAGTGCATCCTTTTGTCTGCACAAGTCCCTCCCATTATTTTCTAGAGGGAATTCTTCTATTGTACACTGCTAAATAAACAAATGCATAGACTTATTTGGGGGGTTCTGCATTTGATTCTGTATGAACAGCAACCGAGTTGACAAAAGTGTATTGGGTGAACACAGCCCAACCAAGAACAATCTTAACAAAGTTCCTACAAGGGTTAAAAAATCTTCTGTGCATTTATTAATGTTCTGAAGAAAGGACAGGGGAGAGAGGCACTAATTAGCAACTATTTCCCCCCTCCCCAATTCATCACCATCTCCCTTGTCGGAGAAGCAAACGGCAATAAAACACCCCTCCTGACTGCTAACGGCTGGTTTGCATCTGTTTCAAAACAACCTTCCTTACTTAGTGCCCTAAAGTCGTGTGTTCCTCTTCTGCCTGAATGGATTTCCTGCACTTAAAAAGGCTGATGAAACCTCACTTGAATTCACAAGGATTTAGGGTTAGAAACTCAATAGGAAAAGGTTGTGCTTGCCTGTGGTCAAATGGCCACCAGGGGGCAGAAAAGCCCTGCCTGAAAAACCTCTTAAGGCCATCACTGGCGCCCTCTTGTGGCCTTTAGGGCAATTGGTGTTTTTCACTTTTCAGTTTGAGCAAAAAAATATCATCCAGACCAGGGCTAGGCAACCTTGGCTCTTTTATGACTCGTGGACTTCAACTCCCAGAATTCCTGAGCCAGCCATGCTCAGGGGAAAGGGAGAGGTTTCCAAGCTGAGCCAGGCTGGCTCAGGAATTCTGGGAGTTGAAGTCCACGAGTCATAAAAGAGCCAAGGTTGCCTACCCGTGGCCTAGGAGGCTCACCGCTTAGAACAGGAGGACTTAGGACAGGGATAGACAACCTTGGCTATTTTATGACTCGTGGACTTCAACTCCCAGAATTCCTGAGCCAGCCATGCTGAGGGAAAAGGGAGAGTTTCCAAGCTGAGCCATGCTGGCTCAGGAATTCTGGGAGTTGAAGTCCACGAGTCATAAAAGAGCCAAGGTTGCCTAGCCCTGACCCAGACCAAGTTTGACCTCCAGTTCGGAGCAGAGGCAGTGCTTATTTATGGGCATGGCTGTTCTCCTCTGCTGACCTCATTTGACATGGAGAAGTTGCCCAGAACTCTGCTACATTTTGCTGGCATCCCTCCAGTCAGGGGGTTCTTGAGTTAGAACATAGAATAACATGGAAGGGACCTTGGAGGTCTTCTAGTCCAACCCCCTGTCCATGGTAAGAGATCTGATACCATTCTGGACTTTCTTTGGGCTTGATTGACACACATGATCATAGAAAGAATAAGAAAATAACAGAACAAAATAACAGAGTTGGAAGGGACCTTGAAGGTCTTCTAGTCCAACCCTGTTTTCATGGCCGGAGATCCTATACCATTTTGGACAAATGGCTGTCCAGTGTCTTCTTCAAATCCTCCAGCAATGGAGCAGTCACAACTTCTGTTCCACTAATTAACTGTTCTCACTGTCAGGAAATTTGGTTGGATTCTTCTTGATGCTTCCCAGAAATACTGAATCAAAGAGGTGGAAGTCACAGGAAGGCAGCAAAGAAAGCAGGAAGGAGAGGGTCCCTTCACACATCTCTGGGCAGTGTTTTGGGTCCTGGAATTTGACCTGAGAACAGTGATGGGTAAATACCGACACCGTCCTGTGGCTAATGTTCTTTTAGCTCTCTCGTGAGAGACGGTCATCTTGTCCAGAATGTAACAACACTGAAACTAGAGGTTTATGCCGAAGCTCTCCATGTTCTTCTGCTCTTCCTCTTCAATCCCAACCAGTGGAATGAGTCCATATAGAGAAACAACTAAAACTACTAACAGAAGAGAGTATTTGTAGCTCAGGTTGAACTGTGGGGTCCTTGGTGTTGTCTGAGCTGGGTTGTTTTCTTACAGATGTTTCATTACCCAACTAGGAAACATCACCAGTGCTAGGAGGGAGTGGGGTTTATGGAAAGGAGGAGGAGGAGGAGGAAGAGGAGGAGGAGAAGGAAGAAGGGAGGGAGGGAGGGAGGGAGGGAGGGAGGGAAGGAAGAAAGGAAGGAAGGAAGGAGGGGAGGAAGAGATCCTTAGTGCTCTGAGCTGGGGGTTTTTCTTGCAAACATTTCATTACCCAACTTGGAAACATCATCAGTGCTAGAAGGGAGCAGGGATGGTGGAAAGGAGGAAGAGGAGGAGGAGGAGGAGGAAGGAGGGAGGGAAGGAAG